TATATATATATATATCACAGTATAAATGAAAAAGTCACTCTTTTAATTGCTGCATGCTTTCACCAGCTCACTGTCACTTTCTTGTTTTTATGACAACGTACATTAACCAAACAAAGACAAGCTATTTATAATCTCTCATACATCAAAATATCAGGTTTGTTTAAGTGGTTTCATGATGATGATTTTTAACATATTAATGGCATGACAACTTTTTTGGCCTATTTTAAATATTGAAATTAGTTCTATTTAAAAATGCTGGTGTGGTTTTTAATGACCTTGATATATTCATGGCAGGAAGAGCTCAGAATGAGAAGCTTATCTCCCTTTGCAGGTTGTTGGACCAGGCAGTAACCGAGGCAGAGGAGCAATCACTGGTTGTTGACAGTCGACTCTGAACTCTTTTTACTAAATGTCCAACCTTTGTTTGGGCTGAGGAATTATGATCAAATCCCAAAGACGAGCAGCGGTCTCTGTCAGAGTTACTGACGTCAGCAACCTTTAAAGACCAGATGCTTCCAGAGTGTCTGATCAGAGCGCGTGATGGACACAGTCACGTTTACATTGATGCTTTTCCTCCTCAGCTGGAGATGTTATGCTGAGGAGGATGCAGAAGGTTTATTATGCCCAGAGCACCAGAAGGCATTTGATGGAGCTTGCTATGAGTTAGTGGGTCTGCAGATGTCCTTTCTGAGAGCACAGGCATGGTGTGAGCGAGGTGGAGGACATCTGGTTTTTATCCTGAATGATGAAACGCAGCAGTTCATTCAGACACACCTGGAGCCGGAGAAGAACTGGTGGCTTGGACTGGCACCTGCAGCTCCAAACCTCACGCTGGACACTGCTGCCACAGAGGGTGAGAGAACATATTAGCATGGAACTTCAGGAAAATCTAACGTGAAATTTATTTTTGTATTTTTATTTTATAAAGTTTAATATTTTACTCATATGGCCCAGCCTTCATCAGTAGTTTATATTTCAAGAGATTTGTTGGAAATGAGAACGACAAATGCATCTGTGATTCATTTAAAAATAAAGCATATTAATTTTAAAAAGTATCTTTGTTGCTGTTATCTCAGTTGACAGTTCACAGATACACATTAAAAGCCCTGTGATGTGTTTGCTTTCTGACAGTGGGAAGACATTTGGTTATCTCAAGCAACAGCTGAATTGAAAGATAATTCCTGATTTATTGGTCCTTTCAATAGGCAGCTGCCAAGTGGTCTGATTTATAAATGTCTTTATTCCCCTCAAAAAATCATCATTTAATCACATTTTTTCCAAATTAACCAAGTTGACAGCATGAAATTTTGTATCATATGTATTAAACATGAAAAGTTGGTCTAATTTGATTCTGCATTTTCAGGTTCTCTTGCATGGCTGGATGGTTCAGATGTCAGGTATCATAACTGGGTAAACCTGCCAGATGACAAGGCAACTTGTGGACATATCCTGAAACAGACAGGCTTCCAGTGGAAGGCCACGGACAACTGTGACCAAGAACTCAACTTTGTGTGCCAGTTTGGTATGCAGACACTTAATAAATCAGRTGAGTTCGCATATAGTTGTTTCTTAATGGTTTTGGACTTTCCCCGCCTCTCTTTCAACTTCCAGATTTTGGAAGATCGATTGCGTGCGAAAGCCAAAATGCCACGCTGCAGTGCGGTTCTGGTCAGGTTATAGAGGTTGAAGATGCCTTCTWTGGGAGAAAAACAGTTCACTACTGCCGATCGCACCTCACAGCCTTACCCACATCTTCTCTGGAGGAATGCAGCTGGATTACTGTGGTCGATTCTGTAAGAGGTGTGACAGATGGTTAAAAAATTATCATTTTTAATTGTAAAACTTTGCTAGGTGTACCAAAACTGTTCGAGACATATTTATTTGGCAATAAATGCATCTATATTTTGATAAATGCTGTGTATAAAAGCAATTTTCTCAATTATGGAACATTTTTGGTACAAATTGTCATGCATGTAACACAAGAATTGTATAAAGGCTATTTAATTTGTTTACAAATTAAATAGCTGTTGTTTCTCCCTGTTAAATATAAAAGCTCTTAAATACATGCATTAGGATCTTGAGGTAATATCAGAAATACCTGATCAGGTTCCAATGAATTTTTTTTTATAAAACTATTAAAATAGTTTAATGCCATGTGCTTGACCCTCTGATTTCAGCTCACTGTCGAGGACTGCAGGCTTGCCAGGCTCCACTGGATCGAAGCTCCTTCACTGACCCATGTCCTCTCCTAGGAAGTTATTTGTTCGTAGAGTACCGCTGCAAAGACGGTCCGATGCGCATTMATTTACATTTACTGTGGAAATTTAAGAAAAAAAAACATGTTTTGTCCTTTAACAAATAGAAATGCATGTTGTGTTACTTTGATTTTGACCAAGTTTTTATTATTATTATTATTATTATTA